TGAGTTTATTGAGCCTAGTGATTTCAACCATTGTTGAGGGAGAAGTTGAATAGAGCGCATATGACCCGACAAGAGTCTAGTGCTACCACTCCTCCTATCGACACTACCGCAGAAGACTCTGCCTCCTCGCTTGGGGGTAAGATACGGAATGCATGTGCACAGTATGGGAGGAAGCAACTCAGATGATAGTACACCAGTCTTGCCTCGCTTGCATGAAGGCCAGACTCGAGTTACTATAGCTATTGGGAACACCATAGTGTCGGAGGAGCTCTCTGTACTATGCCATGATACGGCTCACTGACAGAATTAGTTATCATATTCAGGCAGTAAGGCAGAAGGTGTATTTCAGCGTCAAGGTCTTGGGCACAGTTTTTGAAGGAAGCATAGTGGAGAGCCAAGAGGAGAAGTTGGTGTTGGAAGATGAGGATAGTAATGTGAGTGGACCACTAGAGGGAGGGGAGGAGGAAGACGAGGTTGATGAGAGTGATGCACCGCCGATGTGAGCGACCCATGTTGTACATGCGATGATCATTGAAGCATCAGTTATTACGAACTGGTTTGGCATACTAACACGGTCCATCTCTTGAAGGATATGACTTATCGTAGTGACATCATTAATAGTTGCTACGATGTGGTCCCCTTCCTCCTCCACAGGCAAGAAGTTATTAGACACTATAGACCGCTGTGGTTATCTGCCGCTTGAGATCAACCTCGCAATGACCGATGAGTTCCGACAAGAAGTGAATATTTCGACAGGTGAACATACATCGAATCACCTGTACAGCTATCCAGCAGGGAAGAAGGGCGCTACGGAGATCGAAGAAATGAGTCAGCGGATAGAAGCGTTAGCATTGAAGTAGGATCATAGATGATTGCATCAGCAAGAGCATGGCAGATGCTCACGCACTGTACATATTGATACCAAGAAGCTACTCCTCGACAGGGAACGAGGAACCCATCAGCATCATTCGACTGTTACAACAACCCTACTTTTCCCGAGCATGTTCCGGCTCAGGTCTCGATGATGCTCTCACTACTGTCATCAGAGTCGAGCCCGAATAGTGGTGGTAATAGGAACAGAATACGGGTATCGATAACGGTAGACCCTCCGATCATCCCTGTGCATCCTACACTGAAAAATACAGTAACTCACAGATGCTTACCCGGCTCTTGTATAGAGTTACTCAGATGGTGACTCTGCCGAACAACACCCATGTAGGCCTTCCGACCTCTGTGGAGACATTCCGAGCTGCTGTGGAGCAGATCAGAACAGCCCTCGACCAGCATAGTAGTGGCCTTGATGTCATACTCTTGATGTCCCTTGTCGTCTTTAATAGAGGACGAGGATACGAGGAAGTCGGTTATCACCAAACTAAAGGAGGACACTCTTAGGCCAGCCGTCATAAAGTACCGAGTACATCCTCTAGTTCGGTCTCGTCGGCAATCCTTTCTTCATAGGGTAATTGCCGATATGATCGAGAAAGGACCCTATTACTATCATTCGATAGATGATGTATGATTCGCTCGTCTCTCCCAGCTGAACTACCATTGGGGTTATCTCAGAGTACCATAGCCAACTTGAAGGCAGAGGCCTTTGCTATACTGTCCAGCCACGTTTCGTCGGTCCTGTCAGCGGTCGACGCTTTGAGGAGCCCTCTTGCTATCACCGAAGACACCTTGATCAAGTCTATGCGCCTAGCTTGGGAAGCTGAGTTTGTGTATCAGAAGTACGGCCCTCCCTTAGGAAGCGGCTTAATCAGTCTATCCTTCAGTTATACCTTTGCCGCTTGGGAATACAAAAGGCAAATCGTTACCAGGCCCCAAAACCCCTCTTTGGACCAAGAAGGTTGGAGAGGTACTCCGTTGAACACCATGGCTGAGAGACGACTATAGCCCTTCGTAGAATACAGACAGAGGGCTTGGTTGAGATATTCAGCATTCCTAAGGCGATGTACTCAACAGAACGTAGCTGCTGAACATGCCTTACGGGAAGCGGTGATGCTAGGGTACAATCGAGAGGTAAAGCCAACGTGTGATCCTGGAAGCATCCCACCCATAGGCCCTCTGCTGCCTTTCATGCAGTCTGATCGTCAGAGGGAGATATGGAGAGGCTGGTGACATCCTCGATAGGGTGGAGCGGGGCAGACCATCGTCAGTATTGATTACCACACCATCTTCAGTTGAGGGAGATGGAAGGCATAACTGATCCATTAGTGAATCTCATCAAGGCAATCAATCTGCACGTCCAGGTGTCTTCATCTTCATGGCGTTGATGAAATCGGTTCATCATGTAGGAAGATATAGAGGGTTGCCATCGCTACCTTGGTCTTGCGGCTCGAGACGAGGCATTCTTCCGAGGGGTCAAGACAGAACAGCAGATATTCGATAAACTAAGGTCCGTCGTGCTTATGCAGGAGTTGTTGTTGATGATGGAGGATAGGCTCTATGACGGCGCAGAACACAGAGAGGATGAGCTCGCCACAGGGCATGTGGCTGAGCATTCCCCAAGGTCTACTGATGATCCAGATCCAAGCACTGCCTGCCTGGGGCTGCTTGTCAACCTCCTCCCACCTAGTAGGTCATTGCAAGAGACTCTGTTCGGTGGTCTAGGGCATCTTGTCCAGTCCCGACTGCGGAGCTACATCTTGTCCAACCTGATCATATTACCATGGCGCTTCTTAAGCAATTGATCATTGACAACAGTCTCAATGATTTCGTCAATCTCGTGGGATTAGCGGTACATCAGGTTAGGAAGGATAAGGGTATCATATCGAGCTTGAATCATGCTCGAGGGATCCTTTCTTGGTTATCTCAGGCAGTATGTCCTTCTTCAGCCACGTCTTCAGACGGTGGTGTGAGTTCCACCATCTGGTAGCGGTTAGCCTTGCCAATAAGGGGCGCTGGGATAAAGCTGCAGAGGTTCTTGATAGAGTTCTCGCCATCGAACCTCAACGTAAACCAAGAGAACGATCGCTACTGCCTGCCCTTGGCCTCACAGGCACGGCTTCGTGGGCTCTACTGGGGGATTGTCTTCATCATACAGGAGCTCACGATGATAGGATTGCCGAAGTGCTGATCAAGGCCGCGACAGGCGGCCACGGCCTGCAGGAGGAGAGCAACACAGGTAGAGAGCACTCCTTAGATGAGAGGATGGCTCTCTCTGTTCTCTGATAGGAACCCAGCCCTTACGGTTACTCGCTGTATTACGCTATACTGATCTGCTTCTCAAGAAGAAGAAGTGGACTCAGGCTCAAGAGTTCCTTATGGTTACCCACAGGGAAGTACAAGGGATGTTCCACCTGTTAGGCTTATGCATGTTAGCAAGGTCCTTATGACCCAGCCAACTGCAACAGCCTGGACATATATAGCTATCACCTACATTCATCAGGAACAATGGGACCATGTGCCTTGTACACCACTACTGTCAGGCATCATTGTTGATGCTCAGGCTAAGAAGGCCCTATCAATGGCTCTGGGACTGGCAGACACATCGCGACTACCTACCCTATCAGGCGAGCTGACAAGTGGGCATCCTATGTTGCATGCTGACTGCTGGGGTTTGATGTCATTGGTACGGCCTCTGTTATCGGCAGTCTTGACTAGTACTTAGCGGGTAGGTACTCCTACGTGATGGGCAGCCGTGTGAAGACAGCACACAGCAATCGCGTGAATGCTTCGATCTTTACATGCTTAATGAACCTGTGAACGTAGAGTCTCTACTTGGCACGACCCACAGAATGTAATGTCGAGGTACAAGTACTGACAGAAGTGGGCTTTGCTTGGTTATCGAGAGGCATGCCATCCCTTGCAGAGGTGGCAGCTTGCCGTGCTCTGGAACTTGACGCTAGTGGTAGTACCCCCTGCATATTAGTATTATAGACACTACATGGGATTGTATCGATCGGCAGGCCCTGCACATTGGCTCTACGGATGCACCCTATGTGAACAGAAAGATGTGAGGCAAGGTCTATTGGAACTGCAAACAGCTATCGGCTTGCTATGGGATGATGAGATACAGCGAGCAGAGATAGTGGCTGATGCCGAGAAGTATTAGAGCTATTGATATAACCTGGGTGGGAACATATTCATTCACGATAGATACCTACAGACTGAGGGAGCTTATGACCCACCCATGATGGAAGCCATTCATGCGGCCAACAAGGTTGGAGCGGCTCGACATATCCATGTCACGATCGGATGCAATCAGGTGGCACAGAAGAAGCAAGATTCGACTATCTCAGCGACTGCTACATACTGAGTATCATCCACACGTGACCATGGCACTCGTCGAATCATAAGCTTCAGGCGTATAGTGCTTTTGTTGAGTTATTCGCTCGGCTTGAGCGATATATGCTAGTGTTGAATGTGTAATTGATAACACAGCAGAACGGTCAATTACACGAGATGGAAGCCAGTATGACTGGGCCAGTAAGCAAACTCCTGACTATTCCAGCTCTCCGTTACCATTTTCCCGTTTCACTTGAGTACCTGATTCGCAATGCACTAGCTGATAACTCATCTTCTTGTGTACTGTTAGCATATTGCACTTTCTCAAGGCACAGAGAGTGGTCGACGTATAGCAAACATGAGTTGTTGACCATAACGAAAATGATACAAAAGATGAGTAACTGGCCATCCTGTTTCCTTAGACTCTTATAAGCGTCCTGGAACAAACCTGTACTGACCCTGTCGTGATGCCTCCCATGCAAATGCACTTAGGAAGCGTACTTGCACTCCCATTAAACACCACAAGGAGACAGTGACGAGAGTGTCCGTCACCAGTGCTGTCAGACTGCGTGAGTCTGTAAGTTAATTACATAGAGAATAAACTACGTTGCAGCATGATATGAGACGATAATAGAGAAAAATGAAGACGATGTACACTCCTTCGAGCGGTTCCGCAAAGTCCCTTCAAGATGATGCTTTCTTGGTCTTGTGGCTTGGAGCAGTAGTCGATGAGGGCTTGCACTCTAGCAGCACAGACTTGTATGTTATATCAACACTAGGTGGATCAACCTGGGCAGTATGATCATCATCACCGGTAGTGCAGTAGCAGGTCTTATTACCACTTGCCAGTCAGATGTGTTGACTGGTGGGTCAGGGTGTTGATGAACTATCCATTCATCAGTCAAGGGGTCCGCTTGCCCCCCACTTGGCCTTCGCTCAGAGACTCCACCATACTTCGATACCCACAATCTAAAGGCATTTCACTCATACCTCTACGTAGAGCCCGCCCCACCTGTTGTGACCGTGTGAGAGCCAGGGTCTAGACGCTATTGTGATGGGGACGGGCGTAGTGCGGGTAGCATCCTGTTTGGTGGATAGACCCGACTGGCTATTCCCTTTCGTCATTATACTAGTAACACCCTGATTAAGTGGACTATTCAGGCATTAAGATCAAATGCACCGCCGCAATCTACCATTCATTCGAATCTTGAGTTATCTAAGGAATCTTGCTCCATTCTTAGTCCCGGACTTGAGCATTTTCGGAAGCACCTTCTATTGTTGTCAGCAGCTTTTGGATGTCTTCAGCAGCACCGGGCAGACCAAAGAGAAGGACTGCTGCTGTCTCTGCTCTTAAGAATATGACACTCGGGCAAGACACCAGTGTTGATGATCTAGAGTATCCATATAAACAGAACAAGGCTCCACGAGAGCCACCAGTGTCTGGGGAAAGTAATACAGGTTGTTTATCGGTGTAATGGGGATAAGGGATAGCAGGTTCAATATCATCTAGTAGTGAAGAGAGCACTGAAGGTCTTAAAAAGGACTTTGGTAGCATAGTATGGCTACTCATATTGTAATACATCACCTGTATCGGTCGGCCTTGATGGTGAGTGATAGATACACCCTACAAGGTATCCCTATGGGCATGTCTGGAGTATTCCCACTATTATTGAAGGAACAAGGAGCTACGTATGACTGAATCTGTTGGCCGTCGGGAATCCAGGCATACTTTAGATACTCAGAGTTAGCACTCTTCTCCATGTGCTCATGGCCATTCTCTTTGAAGATATTCTGGGCACCTATAGTAGATACTGTTTATGTGAAGTCATGGGGGCGTCGTAAGACGTGGCTGGTAGTAGAAGTGGGAATATAATAGATCCAAGTCTTCCTGTAGGTGCCTTGTCAACTGCTCATTGCAGCAGTACTCTACTACCTTTCCCGTCACTACGCCATCTGGCTTCATGAAAATGATGTCACGCCTCTATTCATGTGCTTCCTCATATTGTAATAGATTACTCTCTAGTAGAAGCCCCTCATGAATAACACCTGTGATGGGCAGATACTTCTTAGCAGCTACTCAGGACATAGCAGTTGACGGATGGGCCATCACAATGTTATCTAAGAAGAACGTTGGTTATGCAGGTAGTACCCCGGAGCGTATATTATTCTCTAGTTATGTTCTCAGGCACGACCAACTCGGTAGGGCAGACCGCTGGATACTTCCTATCCTTTTCTGGCTTCCTGGCTTTAGAGAAGTTGGGATTCGTCACTCTTGACACCTTCATGGCTTTCATGGCCTTCATCTTTTTCATCTGTAACAATGCAACCCTATCCATTGTCCTTAGTCATCTGACCTTCTAGGTACGGTCCTAGTGGCTGTCTTCAAGAAAGAGGACGACACAGCTTCAGAAGATGAGCCAGAGTCGCTTTCTCATGTCTACGCCACCATTTGGCGTAATATCCAAGGGTGGGTGTCAGCTGCCAGAATAGGTCCTGTTTAGGTATGTGTAAGATGCCCTGCATACAAGATGTCGTATCTCTGCTTATGGTGATGACATTGCCCTTTGGAGCTGCTGATTCAGCAGGCCTCAAACTGCAAGAGCGAGGTGTACCTAAGGATGTAATATATGTCGATTGTACATCCCTATTGTATTACCTCCATATGCCTAGGTAATCGCACTTTTCGCTACACTCAGTACTCCAGCTTATATCTTCTTACCCTGGATACTTAGTAAATATGCAGCTTCTGCGCGACCATTGGCCATGATGAGGGCGGTATACCTACCCAAGGTCATGCTTGGTAATACTCATGTAGCATCATCATCCAGGCGATGTTGGCTACGTGTTGTAGGCCTAGTATCGATGCTGTTAGTAGTCATATGTCCCACTGGTGCTATAACGAGGTAGTAATAATATATGATAGTAGTTAGACAGAGTGCCTGATACAGGAGTAAGACCCATCATGCTCAGCCAGGGGATGATGAAGTATCAATGCTATACTATTGTCTATGCTTCGGCATATTAATAGTACATGCAGCCCTTTCACAAGTAGTAGTCGTGCATACAGTATCGTCACTGCTACATACTCCCTATTATAGTGCATTTTCCTGGGTAAGATGTCGTTTTTCTCACAAGTATCGGACACATCCATAGGAGGCACCTACATGGTGAGCAATGTTGTGTCCTCTTCGTATCACCAATGCCCCTGCTCAGACGTTTTTGAACACCGTCTCCAATATAGGTGGTAATCTTGGGCAGCAACTGGGACTAAGAGGTAAATGCCAATAACCCTTTGCATCTCTCCAGACTACTTTAACGTTATTGCAGCTCTCGATTACCTCTCTATAAGGAGCCCGGCGACTGGCGAGCTTATGATAGATTCGTTTTACGTTACCTGCATGTTGGGTATCGTCTTCGGCGTCGTTTGGTTTAAGTAATGATATCTATCTCTTTCCATCGACTGTCGTATGGGTATTGTAGATACTATGGCCGCTCGTTGATACGGCGAATAGAAGCCTATAGTCCGACTGACTGGTTGGTACACAGTCCCTCAGCAGGCCCTGATGTGATAATATCGAATAGTACGTCAGGTGTTGGTAAGTTGGAATGACTTCAACAGACCTGTGCGTTTCTTACATTTAACTTTATTATGTTGTTGTTTTGTTGGAGTGTTAGTTAGCGTAGGGGATTAGCCTCAGTTTGAGAGCTCTTGTTGCGATGGGTAACTCTCCTGCTACTGGATCAACGACGCCTGCACCCACTGCTGAATCGACACATGTTGTTGATGGTGGGTCCAAAGGTCCATGTAATCCCAAAGTGTCCCCTACCACGGGGAAGAGGATTTGCTGTGTATGCAAGGTAAGTCGTACGAAGCGTAGTCCATGCTGTTAGAGTTGGCTTGTAGGAGACTAAGGCGGCACGTGATGAGTGTATAGTGATGAATGGCGAGGATAAATGTAGACAGTTCATCCTAGCACACAATCAGTGTTTGAGGTAGTGGTGATAGGGATGCTGTACACCTCGAGAACTCTTCATTAGGGCTGAGGGCTTCGAGGTGGAAGACAAGTAACTTCAGGGTAGTGTCGATTATAGTCGACTGCTATGGAACATGTTTCGGTACTTTTGACACGTTAGTGTTGTGCTAGTCGGTATCACTAAAAGGGGGAAGTTCCAGGGCAAGCTGAGGCCGAGCTTGGTTCTGCCTAGCGTTTTTGGGTTTCCGGTGTAACGATGGTGTCGACTAATGAGGTGGTGAATGATTGTCAATCCTTACCAGAGGGACGGGCCCATACCATCGGCAGCACTGCAGGGGCCCTCAGCTCTCGTAGTGAACTGCTCAATCTAATATCACAGATTAAATCTAGGGTACAGGATAAACTCAGTAGTATTGATCCTGTCGAGGGTGTCATCTCGAATTCGTGTCTCCTTAGCTGGGGTGGACTTTCCTATACCACAATTCATTCTAATCGGCCGTCAATCTGTAGGAAAAAGTCGTCTGGTTGAAGCCCTAGCTGGTGAACAGGTAGTACGCCTCTATGCTACTGTTTCGTCCTCCTCCCTTTATCAGTTTAACTTCGTGTCTGGAACACTGGGCTCTAGGCGGCCCACAGTACTAGAATTTCGTAATGATCCTAAGCTCACGACATCACGATGGCAAATACTCAACACATCCATTCAAGTTTGGGAAGAAAAGACTTTACCGCAAGTATAACTTCGTCCCCCTTTGCATGCTCTGGACAATCCATTCCAGGTTTTGACAATGGTTTCGGATGCTCATGAGTCCCTTGGTGCTAACGTTACAAGAGATCCGATCTATGTTAGAGTGGAAGGCAAACACTGTGTAGATATGCAGATCACCGATCTACCAGGCTTCCGGTATGTTGTACTGGTCATCATCACCAACAACATACTCTTCTCAGGGAGTTCGCCCTTGATAAAGAGAAACAGTCCTTGGCCGACCAGATAGATGATCTGGTCAGCTCTTTCATGCACGACCCTCGTAATGTGATGCTCTGTGTTGAAGAGGTAGTTGATGTCGGTACTACTCAATGTATTGTGGTGATGGTCTCTATGTAGGCTGGGGATGCAGCTAATCTATCGACTCTGGCTCGATGCAAACGAGTAGATCCTTATTACAATCGGACAATCCTCATCAGGAATAAACTGGATAAGTCAGAATAGCGGAGTGATCATACTGCTGCCATCATGTCCTTATTAGATACTACCGAGACCTCACAGCACAGAGCGTTAACGAATGGCTGGGAGGGTGAGTAGTAGCAGTAGTCTTGGCTGGGCTAGTGGGATGGAGCTCTAGGTATGGTGACCTGCCCGACAACCTAGTTAAGTTCTGCCTTACACTGCCGTTTTGGGATGAGAAGCACGGTGGTCCTCCAAAACCATTCATTAAGTTGAGGTACCTGTAACGATCTTGATAGACTCATCGCCACCATCGGGGTTTAGGAAGGAGATGAATGACAGAGATATTGCTGAGTTGAAATCAAAAGGAGCGTCACAGCAATTCATGCAATATGTTGGCTTCAATAGCTTTGCCCGTTTTATGGAGAAGAAGATTGAATCACTATTCACGTGAGTGATGGTTGATGTCTATTGCATACCCAATAGACACGTCCTCCTCAGCGAGTCCATCGGCCCGTGCTTGCGTAAACTCCAGGATTTAGATAAGGAATGGACAGAGAAAAGGGATTCCAATCAACAAATGTTGACTGATATCGACCCGGACCATATAGTGAACACCAGTAATGATAATGTTGTCATTATTCCTCACTACAATGGCTCAACGATCAGTCCGTGCTGCGGGAAGATCCTTCTCGGAAGCACTCAACCATGTGATGGAAGGCAGCATCCGATCACGGGTAGGTACTTGTGGTGACGCGCATTCGTCGATGAGGTTATCATAAGGTTAATCGCCTGACACTCGCTGATGAACTGTATGAGTTCCATCAATGGATGCAGCTACAAGACTTCAGTCAAGACTTCCCTCTCCTTCCTACTGATGTATTACTATCATCATCTTACATCTCAATTTACTTGATAAACTTCAGGACTTTGCCAGCTTGGACCAGTACATAGAGTACCTTGGGAAGGACTGCAAGGCAAGTAGTCTTTCTCACTCGATTTTGCATCCACGTATCATGTGGACCAGGTTCCGTCGTTCGATCAACCCTTGAATGGTGGTGCTCAATTCAAGCGGCTGAAGTTCGAGTGCGAGGTCTTCTTTCGGTTCTCGGACATCTGCGTTGATGTACTCATAACTACCCTTGCTCGTGATCATCATCTCCCCTATTGCAGATCTCTAAACGAGATGTCATACAGGCTAGGGGTGTGAGTGTGAGTCAGGTGAGTGAGGACATATAGTCGTCATCATGGTTTGTTGTCATCACCTAATGATAGGTCTCTTGGCAAGATGTTATATTGAAGTTGTTGGCGAAAGAGGGGCAACAAAATGTTCGAAATAAGATTTCCTACGTCGGTCGGCGTATTGAATGGTTTTTCCTCAAGCAGAAAGAGGTATCATATTATCAACGTGCCATCGATGGTAGCATACGTCTGTTAGGTTGTCATCGAGTTCATGGCCAATCTAAAGGGCTCCTGTGATGAGCACTTATATTCCCAACTATTCAGCAAACGTGTGAAGATGATACAGGAAAGCGACATATGTCGGGAGCTCATCTATGAGTGAGTCGGACAGCAGCAACTCTATCGTTTTCGTCGTCATGGCGTATCTTAGGAAATTCGATCAAACGTTGGAGCGACAGTATGGGCTTTTCTCCCAGCTCTTCCGGAATACACTGCAATCGGCGTTTGCTAATCCTTGGGCTCTTGTGAAGGTAGTCTGTCCCTCCACAGACTCATGAGTAGCGATTCTCTTTTTTAGGCGTCATCATGGCAGATTGATCTTACTGATGAGGGTTTCGAAGACATGTGCCTCCCATCCTTTGACGATACCAAGGCCAGGATACCCATAGAAATTGAATGGAGATCGAGGATGGAACGGAAACTCAGGAAGCGACTGAATAACATCTCCACAGATCCGGTATGTGCAATAAGAAGACTATCATCATAACTACGGACATGGGCTTTGGTCAGTTGATGGTCGATGATGCTGTTGAGAAGATTCAAACTTTGATGATGATCACATTCATCAACATTCGGAACTGTCTTTGTGACCAGTTAGAGCTCTTCGCTGATAGCTTCTTCCAGTTGCCCATGGCAAGGCACCTCCAAGGGGAAGTGAGTACCATCCAACTGCGACCAGAGGTAAAGTCTATATAACCCCTTGTTGCCCCAGTCATCGATTCAGGATCGTGCCCCATTCCTTGCCAAGCGGGAGGGTCTCGAGCAAGAAGTCAATAGCTCGAAGGCGATGCTTGAGGATATTGAATGGTGTATAGACCAAGTGATACAGACTCTATATTGTTATCATAGTAATACCTCGTAAGCTCTTCAGATTCATACCTTTGCCCTCACAACCAAGGCCCGTCAATCACCAACAGACTGGAAGAAGAACTACTGACCAATAATAGCTATCATTTTATGAGCATTCAGCATACGAGCATTTTCATTTTTATTCGAGTAGAACCATCCTCAACTGCTAGGCTATATGATACCCATCTGTTAACTATCTTCCACAACATTCAAGATGTTCCTGCATATTTAATGCTTGTCTGTGATACTTTTGCTATGAGCAAGGTTTCTAGTCAGCTAGAGGTTTTGCGTCCTAATAACCGTTCCACAGAGGAATTACGATGACCTCCGCCGTTATTCATTTGAACGCGATATGAAATTGTTTAAAAATATTTGAGCTAGAAGCGTAACTCCTCACTTAGCAGGAGTTCAGATGGTAGTATCATCATGATACTTGTGATATCAATGGAGTCTTTTTGAGTAAAGCGATGAATGAACAGATTCGTGTTCGATATTGATGTCCCGGTTCATGAATTCCAATTAGCATTGAGAGAAAGTCAGCATTGGCTGTATGTGATCCAGAAACTTCAAACAGCCAGCATTTCATCGTTCGGGTTACTCCTCTATAACAACTGCATTGTACATATTTTCTGTCAAGAGCGAGCCATTCAGCGGAACCCTGAGGGTTCGCTCGATCGTATCATCGTTAGAGATGTCGCTTCTAGATCCTCCACGCGTCCAGGGGTGGCATAGTTTCAAATGCGCCCATGAAACTTTAGGACAACCTTCATAACGAAAACCGCTATTATACTTCAAAAGTTAACAAAAAGCAAAATCATATCGTACTCTCTCAGCTATCATCATTATCCTCGTCAGCAATCGCTCGGAACTGTTCTGCCAAGCTACACAGATTCCGCCGTGCAAAAGAGTAAGCTTTGTAAGACCTCCTAGGCCTACCACCTCCCTCTGAGCTCATGCCTGTATACGAACCAGTAATCACCTTACTATGCAGCAGTTATTACCTGGGATGGTCTGACTGAAAAACGGTGGAGGCGTAAGGCTAGCGGGATCTACTTCCTCCTCGGTCTCCTCTTCACCACCTGATAACAGAGTGCGAGTGCGGCCTCACCTCGTATGCTTATTACCATCCCCAGTTTGTCGCTTTCTAGTACTAGCAAAGTTTCCGATTATCTTCTGCATCTCATTCGTCTTGGTGAAAGGCTCGAATGGAGTTAAATCAAGCATGGCATGGTTACAGTCGAATACCACACAACCATCATTGAAGCCTGCACAGTAGGTCTCATAATTCCGTACAGCCCATTACTACTACTACCTGTAATGCCCCCGTGGACTTCAAATGGAGGTTTACGAGCGAGTAGATCGAGAAGTTTAGCACCGTATCTGACAATGAGGATGAACGCACACAGCGAGTGATGTATTACAATGGATGAGCAGGATCTAGATAGAGGAAGCCTTGCCATGCATAGTAGGGTGTTCGCCGTAATCGACACTCATAACCTGCCATCTTCATAAGAACTGTATAGATGCCTCCAATGAGTACTACCAGCATGCTCGAAGTTATAGACATCGGGATGCCTGTCAATATCCTCCTCGGTAGCCGGGTAATGGACTAAGTCATCCCTCCACGGTCCGGTACATTTAGACACCTATCACAAATGATGACGGCCTCATCACAAGATGGTTGTTCACAGAGTTATTACGAATGCATCGAATTGATCTCGTTGTGGAGTAGTGAGTAGCTCCACGTTTGATTGATTCCTCATCAGACTAAGCTCCTTCTCCTTAATCATCGAAGCATCATCATCGATAGTAGAGGATAACGAACGATGACCTAGGAGTAACGACAGCCATGTACATGATAGACTATCATGTGTATAACCTTCTGTTGCATGGGGACAACTCTTAGGTCGGTGACTTTCATAATCCTTCGTCACCTCATTATCATCATCACTCGAGCAATCAGGGATCTTCAATGATACCGCTACTCTATACGTAGGCTTGCTTCGTGAGTATGTCGACTCAGATGTACTTGCTTCCATATTCAAAAATATAAGACTACCACTACTCACTAAATCTGCGCATATCACGTCGGGAATAATTACCGAGTGTCACCGGATTTCACCGATGTCACCTAATAAAAAATAGTGCAAGTGCATGTAAACGGTAGAAAACGGCGCCGCGCGAAGCGCGGCGTTAAGAATCTTGTAATTGTTGTGGTGTGGTGGTAAGTGCATGGGTACAGCATGCTAATGAGCCAGGTTCGATCCTTGGAGGGCTCATAGTTTTTTGTATTTGTTCATTAAAGTCTTATAACGTACTTGTTCTTTCTCTTGCGTCTTGTGTTTATCAAGTAGTGTTAGTCTTTGAATACAACGCGGGGACCAGAACTCGAGACACGACTACACCTTTTCCCGTGCAAGTTTGACAAGTGAGCAGACAAGAATGACAATGTTACTATCAAGAGTGACAATGAGAATCCAAGTATGTCACAATTCAATTCTGTTACAATCAAGTTTGACTTTGAGAATTCAAGTATGTCATAATCGAGATATGTTACAATCAAGATTGACAATGAAAATCCAAGTTTGTCACTTTTCTATTTTGTAGCAACCAAGTTTGACAGTGAGAATTCATGTTTGACACTGGCAGAATATATCACAATCAAGAATGACAATATTCCACACGAGTTTGACAATACGCACACAAGTTTGACAATACACATCCAAGTTTGACATTGAAGAGGGTTTCTCTGTGATCAAAGCCTATATCAAGGAGAAGTTGAGTGAGAGGGATCCGATAGCAGATAGGCAGAGAGCTGAAGAGCAACACATGTTCTTATACCCTCACCGGGAAGATATGCTGCGAGGAATGTGTGATGATGCTATGCAAAAGCTTACAACTGACAAGATGGGAGCCGTGTATAGGCTATCGGATGCTTGGGAACAAAGGGAATCAAGGGGTCGCTTTTTGAATTCTTT